CGCTTTCTCCGCGAGCACGTCGCGATCGGCGGTCCGTCGAAGGAATTGTCATGCTCTTTGAAATTCGCCGGTAATTCAATATCGGCAAGTCTGACCTTTAAATGGTACAAGCCGGTCGAACCGCGGAGAGACGCGGAGTTTAATAATTACCGATGAAAACGCGCGAGGAGATTGCCGCGAGCGAGAACGATCCAGGACGCGCTCGTCCGTTCGTTCGTCCAGGTCGTTCTCCTAATTATTCTCCGACTCGGAGAGTAATTCCACATGCCTAATGAGGTGAGGATTTGCGTTCCTCGGCGACGGGACTAATGACTTCTTCGTCGCAAAATCGCTCAGTCGAGCGAGCATCGCGCGTTACGGTGGCGCGGGACGCAGCACTTCTCGAATTAGGTTAAAATTTCGCGGTGGAAATTAATACGGAAATCGTTACGTGTCCCGCGTGTGGTCTCACACTTAGCCAGACTGACATGCGAAACTATTTCCTCGATGACGTACGGAATAATTCACGTGGCGATTTCTCAACCCTTCTCTTCTAATCCATGTATCCATATGTGATGTATCATCGCTGCAAATATCAGCTGGTACGGCTTGCAACATTCATGTAAATAAATGTGGAAGCCTTGATAAATAAGCAGAAAATTCTCGCGAGTAATCCCGACCTCAGGCGTCTTTTCAAGCTCCAAGTAATTTTCAAGACTCGCAATCCACGCGCGACGATCGTCGCTGCAAGTGTGAGTCGCGATTTGCGACATTCGAATAAATAAATGAATAAATAGGTAAACAAATAAGCTAACTAGTGGACCAGTAAACGATAAAGTACATAAAGTAAATATAGAAGCTTCTAGATAAAAAAGCAAGAAAATATCGCAAGTGATCTCAAGCGTCTCTCTAAGCTCGCGCAATTTTGAAGATTTGCGAATTCACATTATGTGAAATCTCTGCAAATGTGAGCTCGTACAATTTGCAATAAGTAAATATGGAAACCTTAATAAATACGTAGGAAGTTTTCTATCTAAAACTCAGGCGTCTTCTCAAGCTCGCAAATTCACGTGTCACATCTGCAAATGTCAGCCCGTACGCCACATAAACAAGTAAACAAATACAGAAACTTCGATAGATGAGCGGAACGTTTTTTTTGCGACGAACTCAAGCGTCTTTCTCTAAACAATTTTGAAGATTGGCAAATATCAAACCTTCAAAGAGTGTCTTCAAACGCTCACGGGAATGAGGTAAGAAACGATTCGCGAGGACACATCGCGTCCAATCGTCATTGCCGTGATTATCGTCATCGGCTATTACAGAGAGAATCCTTCCGTGTGTCGTTCGCTTTATCGTGCGCGAAATCAGCCGCTCGCGATCGCTCGCACACAAGCGTCCAGATTCACTGGAGGAGCACTTACGCCCACTCTCGCACCACGATGATTGCCTGTAGGTGCAAATATCGCTCCATCTACGAGCGAACCGAAGACAACTTTCGCCCTCCAAGGCTGAGAAGATTCCTCGCGGCGAGCTCATCGTGGCGCGCGTAATAGAGACGGACGGACGGACGCGCGGACGGTCATTGAAAAACGTAATGCTCGCGACTCGTTAATTACCCGTTACCACGTAGGCATGTACGTGGTGCTGTCGAAACGAGCCTCTAATAGGCAATGGATATATCGCGCATTAGACGAGAAGTGAAATTAAGCGAGCGCGATGTAGAATTAATGTCTACAAAACACGTTCGAGTAACTCGTTGGTTACGCGCGCCTTATCGTTCTCAATGGACGCGACGACGGGCCTCTGAAAGATAGAAAGGAAAAGAAAGAGATATGCATATTTAATATTAATTTATTCGCCTTGCGTTTTAATCAGGAGATCGCGGCTTTGCGTAGACACGTAATTCACGTAATATTCCGCATACTTACGAAACGATCCCCAGTTTGCATAATACATTAATATTAATTTCCATTTTAATTTTGGCGTTATCATCAATCCTAGACTGCTAGTGCGAGAAATAGCAGTTTATTAGTAGTATATTATTAATAGTTTATTATTAGGTTATTAGTAGGTTATTACGAATATGGAACCACTTTGATTCCCTCAATCGTTTTTCCACCTGCACTTTGCCTTAACGTTTTCAATCATTTTATTACACAGAGAGAGAAGGAAAATATCAATTACAAACATTCTTTTTATTAAGTTGTTATTCCAAGTGTAGGTCAAGGACTAACATTGGCAATCTATATGAAAAATTCAAAAAAATGCATACTGCATTGAAATAAATGTCATTTGCTTCAGGTATCTCATAAGTTTATATATCTGCAAATCTATCATAAGTTCATCATATAAGCATTAAAATTATTCAAGATTCCTGAATTCTGAAGTAAGAGTTTAGCATTTCTATCAAGAATATTAAACTAAAACAAAAATTCAACTTGTTCACTACACAAAGACAAATTGACTCTTTTCTCTTGGTGAAGTTTTATAATATTCTTGTAAAGAGAACAAATTTCTCTTATAAACACACGAAAACTGAGCTTTTCTAAAACTTGTGAATGAGTATATATTTCCAAGCTATTATAAAGAAAATATTTCTCGTTGAAGGTAATCATTACTTGAAAGAAAGAAATCCAACTGTGCAATCGTTTTTCTTAGTAGAAGAATATTATTTTTTAGGGTTAATGCAATTGCAGTCACCTTTTTCGAAATTCAAGGATGGAAAGTACAACGAGAAAACGATTGTGCGTTCCTCAGATTCCAAGATATCCACGAAGCATTTTCTCTCTCTCTCTCTCTCTTTCTCTCTTGGTCTTTCTTTTAAGGTAATCCACCGACGCGCTGCAGGATGCGAGACAGGCAGAATTGCGAAATTTCGATTGTCGAGGTACGACCTCGATCTTCGTGCGGCGGCAAGTGAATCGTGCCACGTGACTCTTGCTCGTAGGACAAACTCCTCGCGTGCTCTTTGGTCTCCTCTTCTCGTGTTGCAGCTTTGCTTCGCGATTTCGACCCACGGAAGCGACATTATGAGCTTCGCCGGGGCCGATCGACGCGGTCTCACATTATAACGCGAACCCGTCGATCGAGACCCGGATTTCTATTCCTCGCCTTCGCGCTCACGACATCGCTCGTCCGTTGACCGTTCGGCTGTCGCTAATTGTCCGAGGTTGCACGTCGCCGAGGTATCAGAGAAACTCACGGGAAAGCGGGTACGTGCGCGGAGATCAGCGGGATGCCGAAAAGTCACTCGTCGGGAGGGGGGCGCCTAAGAACGCGCCGAAGAATCTCGTCCGCGCGCACGTCCGTGCAATCCTCCGTGCAATTACCCGGCAAACATCGGCCGGCTATTTCAAGTATCTAATATCGTTAGAACGCGATCCCGGATAATGGAAGGAGACCCGCTCGGACGATTCCGCGGCGATCCGAGCGTTCTAACGACGCGCCATTCTTGCGCTCCTCCGCTTCTCGATGCTGGAATGCAGCAGCGCCGAGCACTCCTTGGATGCACCCTCCGCGGCGCGGCGGAGTGCAACGAGTCCGCGATCTCGCTGGCAAAGGCCACCGAGCGACCGGTCACGCCAAACTTAGAGCGCCAGGTAGACGAGGCTCGTTTCCATCCGCGAGAAATTCGCGAGAGGCGCGAAGCGCAGAGCGAGCTTGCGTCCGCGGCGCTAAGCCACACTCGCATTCGAGAGCTCGCTTCGACTCGCGCGCGATTGCGATCATTGTCGCCGAGAGGATCTCTCTCTCTCTTTCTCTTTTTCTGCTTTCTTTTCTATCTCCACTCAAGCCAAAGGCGATGTTATCTAACGCCGCGCCCTCCAACGATGATTCAATGCAAAACGCAACTTTCTTCTGCCGCGCCACACGGCGCTCATTTCGTCCATGAAAGCGACGAGTCGCGAAGATGAACGGCTGGCCGAACGAAAATAGACGATGTATTGTCGAATGAAAGACATTCATCGTCCCACACGGTGTACTCACGACGTCGTCATGTACCTAAACAGCACAAGGCATCCCAGAATCATCCTGGGATCCAAAACGCCGAGAGAGTCCTGAGTATATATCTACACGGAGAAAATATGAAAAATAGACGAAAAAGGGCCTATACAATTTTCTCACGGTGTATATAATAGCGACATTTACTACGTTCTTTAGCAAGATAGACTTTTCTGATAGTTTGTCTCTGTTCTACTAGAAACATAGTTAAATTGACAAGACATTTGAAAAAAGTATTATAATAATATTCTCTCCTGAATATATCTTGAACATCTTGAGCTATCTTAATATCTCCTCTTCTACCAATATTTTCCTGATAACGATATCTCGTCCCTATTTCCCTCTCTTTCCCTTGACATCTCCTTCGTAAATAAGTCTCAACGTGAACGCGCTGCATCTTTCTGCAAACGGCAATCGCGCAATGTTCGCGAAGCCGCCTACCGCGACCGTCGTTATCCTTGACGACTCTCCAAACGGAAAGGCACGGCAACCTTAAGGTTCTACGCAGAAAGAAATCGCGATTTTTCCGCCATGACGAGCTCTTCCGCGCGCGATCACACGGGCGACACAATGATTGCGCGGGGGGCGACCACCTACGTTAATATGCATCGCACAAGGAGAACTCATTGCGCCTGACCAGGACGGACGATGATGCCTGGCTTTCCCGCGTTTCTCTTCGACAGTCGCCTACCTGGCCGCCCCACCCTCCGCGAAGCGTGCAAAATGTGTAAGCTACACGGGAGTCATCCGCGGTATGCGCGTACCCACGTTACACGTATAACACGCGCCGTCCTCGCGACGACGATCCGTGCGCGGATCGTCATCGCCCGCGGCGCCTTCGCCAGGCTGGCGAACAGAGCCCGGTTGCGAGTCCAGGTGACGTAACAAGAGAGACGTTACGTTCCGCAGGCACGTTCTCCCGCGCGATCCACGACGAGAAGGGGCCCCCATCCCCAGCCGCTGCATCGTGGCTCACCCGCAGCCCCATCCTCGCCCCCGGAAAGCGTCTTCGGCGCGTCGCGGCTCTCCTCTTCTCGGCCGAGGCGTTCTCCACGGCGGCCGCAGTCGCGTCCAACGGGTCCCATCGCGCAGGTAACAAACGCGGGCAGCGTGCCGATCAGAACGTCGCAGCCGAGCGAGTCCGGAGAGAAGAGAGCCGTCCAAGTCAGCCGGGAGTCCCAAAGGGAGCGACATGGAGTTCACGAGACGATGCCTCGCCCTAATCTCGGGTACGTGTATCGTTCGACACACCGTGGATCTCTCGATCGAGTGGATTGCGAATCGAGTCGGTTTGTTTCTAGGGAGCGACTGTATCTTATGGAATTGATCTTGTGCTAGGGGGGTACACGGGGTACAGGTGTCGGGGGCGCGCGGTGTCTCCATAGAATTTCGATTTTCCCGGTTTCTCGCGCGGATGTGTCTCTTGGGACAGACGGAAATCGAGGCAGGAAATCGCGCGATTTTAATCTGTTCTCGTGGAAATGGAAAGTGACGAGAGTCGACGGTAAGAAGGCAGCGAAATTTGTCATCTCCTCAAAATTAAAAGTATCGTTGTATTCTTGCCATCGGTTTCTGTCACTTTTTTATTTTCAGTTTTATAGTCGGCTGCAAAGAAGACTACTAAGTGAGAGTGGAGAAATGAAAAGTAGGGTGGAACACCCAAATGTTGACATCCCCCTTAGTCATTAATATTCTAGAAATCGATTTTTTCTTGCGGCTTGTTTATAGTTTTAGTTGTAAAGATCTCTTTTGAAATCAGATTTTTCTAAAATGTCAATGACTAAGGGGATGTCAATAACTGGGTGTTTCACCCCATCGTTGTCTTCTTATCGCTGACTGTGAAACCGCAAGTGGAAAATGACAGAAATCGACAGAGTTAGAAGAGAGCGACACTTTTGACTTTTGAAAAGGAAATGTAAAGTAAAATACCAGGTTATTGACATCCCCCTTAGTCATTGACACCAGAAACACTTGGTTTCCTTGCATCTAACGACACTTATTCGCGGTTTTAGTTGTGAAAATTTCTTTTAGAATTATAAGTTTCTCTAAAATGTCAATGATTATATAATGGAGTATCAATAATGTGTTTCATCTTATCGCTGTCTTCTTGCCGCTGACTGTGAAGTCGAAAATAGAAAGTGACAGGAATTGGCGACATTTATCATCTTCAAAATCAGAAGTGTCGTCTCACCGTCGATCTTTACTACTTTATTACTTTCGGTTTCATAGTCGACTGCAAGAAGATAGCGGCATTTTTTATTTCTGCACGTGAAAAGTATCGTCGTCTTCTTCGTTCCGCCGATTTCACCCTTTCCCCTAGACGAACGAAGAGTTTTGCGAAAGTTTTGGACGGATTCGCGATTTATCAGTGGACACTGAAGTGTTTGGCACGCTTTGGAAGATCGCCGGGCGATAGCTTCTCTTCTTATTTAAAGCACGTCCGTAGAAATCGACGGTACACTTTCGATGGGAACAATCCCCGTGCGTGCGGTTACGACTGCATGAATATCCATGCTCTTTTATGCATACGGATGCCCCGCGTTAGAAAGGTGCATCGACACATCCGCCAGGACTATCTCCTCTGGATCTTCGCGATCCGGGAAAAGAGCTCGCCGCTCTCGTGAGTTTGGCGAACGGCCCAGCGAAGATCGACGGGTTGATCGAACGTGATCCACCGGCGGATCTCCCCACAAACCGCGGATCCCATAAAAAATACATTAACGCGCGAGGTGCAAGAAATTCTTCCTTTCCTTAAAGTTGCTTTGCGTTTCAGTGGGAGTGCTATGGAGTTGCGTACTGGGTCTCCAGCGGCCTCCGCCGAGATACTCTCAGCAGTACATGCCGGAGACCTCGTTCAACTGTCGCAACAAGATCGTCGGCAGCTATTACGCGGACCCTGAAACTGACTGCCAAGTCTTTCACGTCTGCGTCTCCGTAGCCGGATCTATCCAGGATTACAAGTGAGTGCGGGCAAATCCCCATTGAGACGCGACAAAAGATTTTTCTTCAAGCTTACCAAACTGTTTGATGCATCAGTTCGGATGATCGCGAGTTTTCTCTATTTAGAAGTGTTCCAGTCAAAAAGTTCAATAAGAAAAATGTCAAAATTCGCATATTGTTCGTTTTGAATAATTTTGAATCACAATTTTGATATACACTGAGAAAAAAATACTTGAACATTTATTTGTGAGAGACATGAAGTTTCTTTGCAGAAATAACTTTTATATCTTTCACAATTAAATGTTCAAGTATTTCTTTTTTTAGTGTAATATTTTATACTGACGTTTGTTCACACACTCAGGTTCCTGTGCCCCAACGACACCGCCTTCGACCAGGAGAGCCAAACCTGCGCGGACTGGTACGACGTGGACTGCGAGGCCGCGACCCTCTACTACGCGAGCGACAACTTCGATCTGTACAGAATCGGTTCGGGCCTGGAATCCGTGCACTACGACCATCTGCGCAGCGACGCCGAACCGCAGGATCATCTTCAGCGCAGCGAGACGAGCGACGCGGTTCGTTCCTCGGCGAACGCAGTCAACCGGGTGTCCTCGTCGAGCTACAACAACAACAACAACAACAACAATAACAATAACAATAATCGTGATTTGCTGCGAGGTAGCAGCAGCAGCAATTTCTACAACAGAAACGGCAAAGAGGACGACTACGAGACCGACAAGTCGTACAAGGAAGAAGCGGGTCAAGATACCAAGAAGAAAGGCGGCATCAGGAAGGTCAGCAGGAAGCAGCCGTACAACGCGAACGGCAACTACTCGCCGCCCAGCAGCACGTCGGCGCCGGTCGCATCCGGTCAGAACAATTACAACGGCAATTACTACAACAGCAACGCGTACAACCATCAACAACAACAACAACAACAACAACAACAACGCCAACCCACGACGACGTACGTCTCGTCCACAACCGCGCGCCCTCAAGAGAGCTACAACAGAAACCAGAACGCACCGAGGTACAACACGCCGTCGTCCACTTATCGACCCAGCACCACGTACCAGGACACGTTCAACAGTTACCAGTCGCCCAGCACCACCAGCCGCACCACCGCCTACAACGTCTACAGCGCGAACGCGAACTACAACCAGCAGAACACCGGCTCCTTCGCCCAGGTCACGACGTCGAGACCGAGCAGCTACAGCCCGAAGAACAACTATCAGACCTACGGTCAGTTGCCGCAGTCCACCACCGCCCAGCCGAGCACCAACTACCAGAACATCGACTACACCAACTATCAGCAGAGGAGCTACAGCAATATCCAGCGTGGAACCAACAACGGCAACGTCTACCAGTCCACCACGGCCGCCTCCACCGTGTACGACAATTACAGCAACAATAATAATAATAACAATCAGTACAGACCAGCCACGTCCACCAGGCAGGACCTCGCCCAGACCACCGCGAAGTACTTCGTGAGCAACAGCTACTCGCCCACCACGTATAGCCCAGCGACGAAGAAATACGTGAGCGGGGACAGCGCCGTCGCGCAGACCGCTCTGAGGAACAACGACAATCAGTACTACGATAAGAACAGCCAGGCGGTCAAGCCCTCGACGCAGTATTACGACAGCACAAAAACGCCCAAGAAGGCGACTCAGTACAACAATTATGACGGCGCGAGCGGCGGCAAGTCGTACTACATCGAGACCAGCACCGGCAGCTTCGACCTCGCGAGATCCTCCGTCGGAATCGGCTTCAGCCCCGCGAGTATCAACCACCTCGCCGAGTCGCCGAGGACGACCACGCCGGTGCCCAGGTAGAGAGATCTTCGCTCGCGATAACTTCGGATCACAATAGTGAAGTAATCTTTAGAGAAATTTCAACTGAGATATCGTGGACAGATAACTTGAGATCGTTGTGGAAATCTCTCGGAAGAAAATTACGGCCCGAAGAGTCGTATTTTCCAATAACGGTGACCTCTCGAGGAACCTTTGCGTACCTTGGATCACATTTTCTCGTCTCTGTAAAGTCAATTGCCAGCTAAGCGTGCGATAAAAAGTATTATTACTGTTATCATTATTCTCAATTGTTAAGTAACTTGCTGAATGCTTTGCCGTCGAAGGCAGCTCGGAAGTAACGGCTCTCTGTTCTCGTCACAGGCGATCCTCCAGCGCCACCACTTACAACCCGAACACCTTCAACTCCGGCGCTCAAAGGACCGGCCAGCCGACGACGACGCCACGGGGAGTCACTTACGTCAGCGGTTCCGCGAGACCGTTCTCATCGACGACCAGGTTACCCAGCAGCAGTGGCGGCAACGGCGGCAGCGGCACCAGCACGACGACGCGACCGAAGTCGGGCAAGAAGAACGACTACGATTACGCGTATTATGATAACGCGGGCGGCTTGGAGTACGACGGCGTCGACCTCGAGCACGTCACCAGCAACAAGGAATCCACGAAGATCGCGAGGAATTAGATTCTCGTAATAATAATAACAATAATATACATGTATACCGCGTCGCGAATTCCTTGGAGCTCGTGTGTCCGTGTGTGGTGCTACAAATCTTATCTTCCGTCGCTTTCCGCCCTTTCCTTTCGGCGACACCACACCGGTCGATTCGAACGGCCGAAGCGAGGCGTTTCCAAGGGATTCCGACAAGCTCGTATCGTAAATTATCACTTATCAGTAGCCAGTCGCTGTCAAAATCGGTCTTCGATTAAGAACGCATGTGAAGACGGAGGGGGAAGTGTTGACAAATATTGAATACCGATTTTGAGAGGAAAATCGTCGATCGATCCGCTTAAAACGCGCATACGGCGGCTCTCCCGGCGTCACTAACGCATCGTTTTGTCGTCAGTATTTTAGGGTAATTGTTTTCGTGCGTGTTTGTTTAATGACGCGCTTGACGCGCGCGCACACAGCATTCGCGCAGCGAGCGTCGTGCTGTCGTGACAAAGTGCGAAACGAGAAATTTCATCGGTTCATCTCTCTCCTTTTATATCTCTCGTCGCGTGAAGGAAAATTTCTCGAGATAACCGACCATTGATTGTATATTTCGGTGATCGATGTTGAGTTGTTGAAATTCGTCGCGTCTCTTGCACTTGCGAGCGTCGAAGGAGGTCCGCGCGAAACGTGATGCGTAAGAGATTGTTTTATTATTTGCGTCCTGAAAGATATGCGTACTGAGTGTATATATTTCATAACTATTTTAATTAGAAAAAGCATTAAGTGGCGTGTTTCATTACTTCCTCGATGACAGCCTCCTGTAAATCTTCCCTGCTGCACGCATTACCTATCGAATTTTCACGTATAACATTGATATCCTCAAATAACGTGTTTTTTTTTTTAATAAGCGTGATTTCGGGAATTACCTATTGGATTTTTCGATTTGCGTCATGCGAATCTTTCTTACGAACCCTGAGATAAAAATATCTAAACATTTATTTGTGAGATGCAAAGTTTATATTTCACAAAAATAAGCCTCATTTTATAGAAATACACTTCATATCCCATAGAAAAATTTTCAAACATTTTTTCTCAGTGAATGCAAGAAAAAATAAATATTTGAAAACTTATTTATAGGATATAAAGTTGATTCACAGAAATAAATTGTACTTCACAGAAATAGATTTTACTCTTTCTGTATTCCACAAATAAATTTTCAAGTATTTCTTCTCAGCGCGCGAGAGGGGAAAGTCTCATGATTATCGGGAATAATTACAGCGCTAATTACGACCGACCATCCTTCGCCACTTAACATTAACATTCGGACAATCTATAAAAACTGTGTGTTGTGATAATTTATATAATTTATTATTATCCGGTCATTTCGCAAATATGTGATCGTCCTCCACGCACACATTTACACGACGCGGCAATATCATACATGTATAAATACAACGCAAAGCACACTTACTGTACAACGCGTACATTTTCGGCGGGTATACATATAAATACTTTATCATTTAGAGATTATATATCAAACATAACACGCGCGTGCAACAGTAGTTTAGACTACGCGGCATCGTTTGGCAGTATCTTGCCGATCAATCGGACGACGATTAGCTCGCGCTCATCGACTCTCGTGATTGAAGACGCTAAAACTCATCGAGCCGAGTCGCAATTTATATTTGAACTCGCGACTATAATATAGTTGAAATAAATAATTGGATATGCCGGGGTGTAGCTCGCGGGACTACAAACTATCCGAAGAGATTGGTAACGAAGGTATTGAATCCGTTGCTGAGAGACGAGAAAATGCCGCTGTTTGCGTCGGCCGCGGTGTTGACGCCCGACTGCGGCCGGTAATGTAATGTGTGGTCTCGGTGCGGATAAGGTCTGCCGCCGGGATTGCCGTTATATAAAACGGATCCACTTTCCTCGTCATACTGTCTCTGTTCCGTGTGAAAAAAGGGAATTAATCGGCTTTTATGTAAGAAAACACGATATACTTGCTCGCCCGTTTAGGTATCACTTACTTTCGTCGAGTAGAGCGTAACATTGAGGAGCGTCGGGTGTTGCTCGATTACCACAAATTCCACTTCACGTGGTATATATCCGCTCGAGAATACCTGCGGCACATAATAAACATATCAGAAAGCACTCAGGACGGCGTAGCGGATGGGCGTCGCGGCGAATTTTTGATCTCGTCGGGCTTCATCGAGTTCGAGCGAAACTCGAACTGCGTGAAACGACGTCGGAAATCTCCGCCGTGATATCGTGATGAAATGGTGAAAATTCAGTGGTGCGCTGTTTAAACCTCCGCATATAATCATATCTTTTGAAATATACAGTACAATCTAGATCTGTCAGACTCGGGCAACTTTGAACTATCGTAACTTTGTTGTATGAACAGTTCAATATTTTTCGACACATTTTTTCTTCCAGATATGTAGAAAAGACTGTTATAAGATAGTAGCACGATAAAATCAAAATCTGCAAACGGATTTTCGCTATTTTGAAATTTTTTAGAATATACAGTGTAATCTATCAAACTCGGTCAACTTTAAACTGCCATAACTTTGTGGAAATCGATATTTTTGGATATATTTTTTCTTCCAGAGATATAAAAAAGTTTCAATTATAAGATAATAGCGCGATAAAATCAAGATTTGCAAACAGGTTTTCGCTATTTTGAAACTTTCCGGAACATACAGTATAATCTAGGTTTGTCGGGTAATTTTGAACTGTTATAACTTTGTTAAAAATCGATATTTTTGAATATATTTTCTTTTCTAGAGATATAGAAAAGTTTCTACTACAAGATAGTGGAGTAAATAAAGTTAAGACTTACAAATTTTTGCGCTATTTCGAAATTTTCCCGGATTCTTTAAGAAAGTTGGTGAGTGATTGAATATTCGTTCGAGTCTCACAGACCTGACATTGCAGGCGGAAGATTAATTCGCAGCGCGTTTCATGCACGCAAACGATAGTGGAATATTGACATACCTCTAACTTATACATGCCCGGTAATAAGATCCTCCAAAATTCGCCATACTTGGTCGTCGAGAAACTGACGTCTCGCGACTTCACTTTGACGGACGCTCTCTCGATGGGATTGCCGTTCTCGTCGATGACGAAGCCGTGAACACCTCTGTGAGCTTCCGCCAGAAACTTGATCAGGGACTAAAGAGATGGTAAAGTGCGGTATCGGTAAGCTCTTTGAGTTAGTTACACACATATACGCTCATCCTGAGAGTGATCCACTGAGAAAAAAGTACTCAATATTTACGACGGTTATCGCATTATTTTTGTGACAAGTGTTATTGTAATTATTGATAATCACTCTGTATGCATCTAGCTATACTGAAAAAATATTATAGTTTTTTTTTCATATAAATTCTTTTCAACTTTACTTGTTTCTAGTAGTGTAGGAATAAACTGTCATTAAAGAGAGAGTCTTGCTAAGAAACACAATAAACTTCATGGCTAGAAACATGGCAAATATTTTAATATAACACATTTCAGTTTTTAAAAATAAATAGTACGAATGAAAGAAAAAGATAGTTAATTAAATTAATTGTAAAATTGAATTAAATTAATTGTCAACCTATTCTACGAAATTTTTACTATAAAATTCTCTCCGCGTATTGTTACTTTTTTTGTTAGAACAACGATAAAAAGATATAATTGGTCCCGAAATTGATCTTAAATTTAGTTAAATTAATCGAGACGACTAATTTCAGACAATAATCTTAAAAAGAGACTTTCTCTCAGTGTGCCATCGTGTGTCATCAATATTATGTTAATCCATTTGCGTCACAAGCGGTTGCATTCCTTCACATTTCGCCCGGCCATCGCGGAAGCGGACATAGCCGCGCACAATCGAGACTAGATCGAATCACAAAAATCGTGTGTTTTCGATCCGTTTTCTCACTTTTGATGTCGATCTACTAAAGAAAAACTTGAATGAAACAAAGTATATCTTTCAAATCTTCTAATGACGCAAATGGGTTCAACAATCGATTCATTATTCCCGTTGAGCCCTCACCGCTCGATTCTCCTCCCAGTAATGCCGCAGATCCGAGGCCGGCGGATACTTGCAGCAAGACAACTCTAAGGTGATCTCCATACATCCGTTCCACACGTAGTTGAAGTCTTGCATGCCGCCGGTGAGCGGATACCACTCGGCGCCGTTGGTGATGCCGCGTTTAAACGCGGGCTGAGAGGGCGAGCACGCTAATCCCCGATACATAGAGCCATGGTTTCGCGAATACGTGAGCGACAAGTGCTGAAACACGTCGTCATCCGGCGAGACACTCGGCGTCGATGTAAAACTCTGAAACACTACTCTCTCTATATGACACTGTTACTGTTTCAACGGCGAAACTTGTCTGTCCCCGGCAACATGTGAGCATGATTGTGTGCGCGATCTATCGTATTCTTACGTATGTATCTCTTGCACGGGCGCGTGCATTAAATGACTAAAACTATCATGCGTTTTGGACGAGCCGTTGGTGATTCTGGCAGGTCAATGTTCGCTCTATCCTACACGGAGAGAAAAATGCTGTTGTAGAATTGGCCAAAGCAAGTAACGAATCTTCTTTATTCACTGGCAATATTATAGAGATTTACGCTCGAAACTATGTTGAAACTGTGATACATTAGTTTTAACCCATTACAATGTTGGGCTCGTGAGATCCAAGCGAATATCGCCACCAACTTTCGTAAAGAGCGCGGGAAAATTTCAAAATAGCGCAAATCTTTTTGTAGATTTTAACTTTATTGAGCTACTATCTTATCTAGATGATTTCTTATATTTCTGGGAAAAAATATCTTCAAAAATATTGATTTTTCAACAAAGTTAGTTCAACATTGCTTCTCTCAGCTCGACGGATCTAGATTATACTACATGTAACGAAAAATTTCAAAATAGCGTAAACTTGTTTATAGATTTTTACTTTATTTACTCTACTATCTTATAGTAGAGGTTTTTCTGTATCTCTGTAAGAAAAAATGTGCCCAAAAATATTGATTGTCAACAAAATTATGATAGCTCAAAATTGTTCAGCTTTGACAGACTCAGAAAATTGTATTTAGGCGCGCGGAGCGCATTGCTATAGAATGAAGAAGATTTATTCCAATCGTGAGCAATTCTATTGAATCAACAGCAATTCTTTTTCCATGTGCAGAGTACATCGCTTGTTGAGCATCACATCATTCAGATCGCGTCATTCCGAAGCCGTGGCGGGAGGATGATTCTCAACGGGCTGCGTTAACGGAGATTGATGAGGAGTATGCGTGTGTCGTGGCAAGAGACGAACGAGGTATTATAATCGCAGAGACATGCCGAATGATAACCGTCGTATTAACCGTAGACCTTATCATTTACACTTTTCAGGCGAGTGACGTTATTCTAGAACGAATGTTTTCTGTCGTGTCTGGACGCAGATGATCCAGCAACTGACTGTCGCTGTTTCGTCCTCGAGTTTACGAGCGAGACGGTGTTGTTACACGCTACGCGAGAAACGATTCGTATTCCGCTTCTGCCTCGTTTCTTCCTACTTTAATCCACGCGTTTGTCACGCTGCGCTTTACGGAAGTAAATGATAATGTCATTGATCATACTGTTATTAGCGATAAGTTAATCATGTATTGCACTGTACCTGCACACAGTGGCGCTGATCGACATATTCCTGACGGCATGAAAGTTTACATAATATCATGACAGCTTCAAAGCTATGCGCATTTACGCCATAGCTGTCTGTGGTCTGACATAAACGGAACGGTAGTGCGTTCGGTAGTGCGATATTAACGGATTCGATCGGACAGTCGGAATCGGTCCCGTCGCTGGAGGCCACTCAAAAATAAATAACGCCGCTTTTTTCTGCTTTTCTGTCTTTTTTTTTTTTTTTTTTTCGTTCGTTTGTGCTTTGTGCGTCTTTTTCTTTCTGTTTCTCGTCGTTATCGTCACGGAGAGGGGTCACGACGGTTACGGATACGACAGCGTCGTTATGACGTGCGTTACACGACGATTCTGCCGACTCAGATAGGCTGATTGAATGAGCTATGCACCCGTCTCTTTAACGATTCTCCCGCACAACCGGTAACGTCAAAGGGTATGTTCAACTTACGCGAATTCGGGGTATTGTCGAAGGGATAGCTCGCTACGAGCGCACCGCCGTGCAGACTGCCCGAGAGCACAAATTGGATCTTTGATACCCACTCCTTAACAGCCTCTGTCTCCGGCTGACTCTTTTTATTGTTCTGCTTAAAGTAGTCCGGAAAGTTGCGATTCAAGTCAAAGCCGCGCGCGTTGTACCTGTTAAAATCGCAGATGTGAGAATCAGGGGCACACGCACGCACGCACGCACGCACGCGCTCACGCACTCACGCAGGCGCCTACGCACCCACACGTGAGTGCTCAAGGGAGGGACGTTACGGAAGTCAGCCAACGCGACAAGCGTTAAACAGTAGAAATCGTTTTGTTGGAATATCTAACCTGCCTTGACCACCGTCGCAGTTCCCCTCCTTGGAAACTTCAAAGCCGTCGGGATTCATCGACGGCAGAATGTGAATCCTCGTATTGTCCAGCAACCAAGTGATATACGCATCTGATCCATACGATGTCACGAGAAACTGAAAGGAAGAAAGAGAGGAGCAAATAAATGTCGCGGACGCGCGAACGTTTCCGTGCATTTTCCTATTATTAGACACGTCGAAGTGCGCAATCGAGAGTTCGATTCAAGCCTCGTTATTTTGAATTAACATTTTATGATGAATTACACTTAAAATCTCTCAAATTAAAATCTTCCCCTTCGATGTGAAAAACAAAGCGGCCGATGTCGCAGCGAGAGCGAGAGAATCGGCGTATTCTCACGCGATTCCGCGTAAAAATGAAATCTTACGTAAGTGAATTTTGTCCTCGTGAAATATTATACGGTGACACTGCGGAATTGTGTCCGCCGTCACCTATTCGCCGGCATTTATTGCTCCAGTGTCAACTGGTGAGTAACGTGGAAACTCCGATGTTGTTATGACAATTACGTACGTGAATGAGATGCAGCATTAACTCGCGTCCCACAGCTTCGTTTCCGTGTATGTTGGCGATATACTTCACGTCGGGCTTCCCGATCATGTGCTCGTACGGCGATGACGACACGACCATCACCCATAAGTCACGATCTGTTGTACGAATGTCGCTCGATTATAATCATTTGTTATCCTCCTCAAATTTATCCCATAGCCTTGAAGGAAGGCTGATTCCAATCAGTTACTTATCTGGCTTGTACAATTCTCAATTATCGACAAAATCCTAATTACTAATAACTTGTGGCTGACTGCCACGTTGCGTTACGTGACTCATCAAGACTCAATAATATTATTTCGCGCAAACTAGACAGCTGACCGGAATCAACCCGATGGGATTCATGGAATAAGTTTCTAATCGGCAAAAAGACGCCGCGTGATTTTTCAATTAATGCGATATAATGACTCGGACCCGCATTAATAGTCGTTACTTGAAATCCTTTCCAAGTGGAATACTCAGATTTGAGTTCAGAGTTGAATGGAGGTTTTTCAGTTGAATCGCAATTATAACAGATATAATGTCACATTTATCATACAATTCGATTGAAAAATTTGGATTTGACTCTGATTGAAAACTTGAGTGTCTCACATGAGGCAAATCTCAAGTGACAACTATTAATACGGACCTCAGTTTCTCGATTGGAAATTGAAATTTCTTTTCTTCTCTCCTAATTTTCTCCGTTTTGTCACCAAATGCGAGATATTCACAGTGAACTCTTTCATATATGCACACACAAAAAAAAGCTCGTACCTTTCACCGACTTTCCTATCGAGTAGAGCGCGGTGAGATTTTGAAATCGAAGGGACGTTGCGCGTAGAAAGCGGCTCATCTGCTCGTAATTGTGATACTTGAACTCGATGTTGTGCGGATCCTCGTACGTCAAGAAACGGGGATGATACTGGCGGGGGACGTCTCCCTTGTTGGGAAAGTGCGAGACGGCATTTCCATGAATGCTCCCGTAAATGAAGATGAGAAAAAGTAGCACGCGATACATTCTGCAAGTATCGGTCGTAATGCACTCGTAAGATAATAGCACACGAGACGGGCGATTGAGAGCGATCTGCGGCATTTAATTAGATCGTGTCTGTGCGAGAGACACGCGAGAGAAATCGCTATTTTCCGCGGATTTTCGTGCGGAACACGCGCGCCGCCGTAAACGCAAATCCTCTCTCTCTCTCTCTCTCGTTAGATCATCGATCATATAGAAAATTGTCTAAAACACACACATCGCACACGAAGCACGAGGCCCGTCCCGGCATTACCTGCTCGTCCGAACGTGTCAGCGCGATGTACGTTCACAAAAATCGCTGAACGGAGCCGCACCAACCGTGCTGCCAGCCGTCGTGCGTGTGCGCTCTTCCGTGTTCGTGCGTACGAGGTGCGCGTCCGCGAAAACAACACTAGGGCAGTGGTACGTGGAGCCGAGAGAGGATTCTCTCTCTTCTCTTCTCTACTCTCTCCCCACGATACCGGTTTCTTTTCCGTCCTCCGCTCTCACCGATACCGAATTAAAGCCGCGCTTAAACGCCCGGCGCCGGCGAGGTCACGCACTTTTCGCACGCAATCGCGTAGGCACACGCGGACAAGTGGACGGACAGCATTTGCGGAAGTCGAAGAGGATAAGAAGAGATAGAGGAAGAAGAAGAAGAAGAAGAACAGAGAAAACAGGTGAGAAATAGACACACGGCAGTGAGAGAATGCGACTCGGATTCCGAACGGAGGAGGAAGATGCAGTTCATCCGTGAGAGTAGCGGCGAGATATGTGATACTGTGAACTTACAAAGAGAAGCGAAATATGCCGTGCACTCACTACTACCACCACCATCAGCAACCAGCAGCAGCAGCAGCAGCAGCAGCAGCAGCAGCAGCAGCAGCAGCAGCAGCAGCGGCGGCGGCGGCAGTACAACCACCACCTCCACCGCAGCCGCCGCCGCCGCCGCTGCTGCTACGACCACCACCTCCACCACCACCACTACTAATGAAACCCACTTCCTCCGTTACTGGTATCTCTGCTGTCTGCTCCGTTGTAGACCAACCACTAGCGCAACCAGTGTACCAGAGCCGGGAGACACAGGCCGTTTACTGTCTCACCTTAACACTACCACACACCACCGGGCACACAATGAGCAACGCGTCAAGCGTATCGTGGCGAATTGTTATTTCGCACACACATTTGGCGCGCGGGCGTTCTCGGGCCCGCATTTAGCGCGGTATCTGGAGATCTCTCTTTCTCTCTCGCGGCAGGAATTTCACTTTTGCGGCTGAGCGTAGTCGAAAATACGCGGGTTCGCGAAAAAAATTCGGAAAAAGGAAAAAAAACGCATGATTCTCCGCAGAGGAGTTAACGAGCAGGTGACTCGGCGACGCTAATTAAATGAGCGCTTTGATCTGGCGCCGATCACGGATTTAAAACAGCCGCTCTTGGGTCACTCGAAAATTGTTTCAGCTGAAATATTCAGTTTTGGATTTAAAATCAGATGAAAGCTTTTGGACAAAATCACGATTCCAAATGTAATATCGCATATATGTGCGCGCGCGAGTTACATGATTGAAATAAAAAATTCAAACCTAACTCCAAATTTAGACCTTGGTACTTCACGTGGGATAAGTTTTAAATAACGACTATCAATATGGCTCTTAGAGGGCCTTGGAATCAACTTCAAGACAACTCCAATTCTTTATTTCTATCGCGCATTTGATTATGTATATTTGAATTATTACACATCGCGTTAATTAGATAACGAGGAAACGCTACTTACACAAATACACCAGAAACTGAAGCGGGAGGCACACGGAATTTTTGTTCAATTAAAGATCCTGACCGTCGCGAAATGCAGCTCGCTCTCGGCCGAAGAGGCGAATTACCAGCTGGGGTTAATCACTCGATGATACTTCCCGCCCGTTATAAACTAATTTCACGATCCAGCGTCGTTTTATTCGTAAAGAGGACGTGCCGCGAGCGCGTGTGCGGCAATATACAGTTACAAGCCGCCGCGCTATTGTCGTTACCACTACCAGCGGAGCCGACGGAGGAGGCGGCGGAGACGGCGGGCGGAGGTCACCACTACCAGCGCCGGTGTTAATTGAGGTGAAGAGGTTTTCGTTCCTGGATGTTTGGCACTCGAAGACCCGCGCCGCCCCACGTACAGCGAGCCCGCTGTTACAGGCCAATCTCGCGTCAGGCCTGGCCGCTATATATTTTCGAATATAATGAGCCGCCCGTCCGTCTATCCGTCCGTCCATCCGACTAAGAGACACCATTACAGAGAGAGAGAGAGAGGTGCAGGTCGATGGAGCATTTGTAAGATCACCGACGTCCACCACATGTACTTTCGACGGGCGATATTGAGGACGGTGTCCTACTAGCAGTGCCCGCGCCTACTCGGCACTCGAATCGTGGTTTCGGATGGATCGTTGAACCCATGAGGAGGAAGGTGAGACACTTCGTAAAAAAGAATTCCAACAAGAAGTGTGTCACCGTGGCGTGGCGATGTATGAGTGTACGTGTGTGTATTGTATATATGTGTATATGTGTATGTGTGTGTGTGTGCATGTGTGTTGTGTGACGTAGCGGTGAGTGAAATGAGGAAGGTAGGAGGGAGCGGATAGATCGGGCCAGAGAGGAAAAGAGCGAGAGCGGAGGAGAAAGAGAGAGGAAGAGAGCACCAAAGAGAGAGAGAGAGAGAGAGAGAGAGAGAGAGAGAAAGAGAGAGAGGACTTAGGGAGAGCAGCAAAGAGAGGGGGAGGGGGAGAGAGAAAAGCGGCTGCGAACTTGGTTCCTGAAGATTTCACTCATGGTCGACGACTTACCTTGAGACGATAGAGCCGCCTGCCCCCTCCATCAAAGGAGACCTTTCATAACGGACCCCTTTCAGAAAGCGGTGTATGCGTTAGGTTCAATGACAGAATTAGCTCAATGAACGCCGCTCGATGCACGGCCGACGATATTTCGGATATCGGCCGTGTGTTAATCACATAACCCCCTTCAAGGTCCAAGCGTCGCGTTCGAATAAAATCCTTTTCTTCGTAAAATAGTCTTGAAAGGCTCATCTTCTGATGAGGAGTTTTGCGATCCGAATGAAATTGACCGTCGCGAGAAATACGATTTCTCTAGATGTTATTTATGTATTATTATATACATCTTCTACATATTATGAGCATCATATATGTTGTTATGTACGTCCGTACTTTTGCACGTATGCCCCAGAAAAATTCTGAATAAATCTTATAACCATGACAACGCGAATACAAGAGCGCCAACCTTGTACTTCAGGGTGACATCGATGAAAAATTGCGAGAGTAAGATTTGCTTACTTCTCCACGTGAAGAACTTCACACAATTTCGGGCACCAACGCGATTCTGTTCCGCACACGGTCGCCATATTGCTTTCTACAGCGGAAAAATCACCATTTCACGGGCTGGAACGAGGAGCACAGCTCTATCTAGTACGGATCGATAATGCTATACCGACGGAATCATTACTTTGTCAATACACAAAATTTGGCAAAGAGCCGAAGTGAATGTATATAATTACAGTATCGTTGAAAAGTCTTTAGACATCATGCCCAGGTACCGAAACGCATCAATATCCGCCATTGTGTTGTGTTTTGTGCTATGGACAGTATACAACCGTATGCGCAGTCTGTAATTTTTCCGAATAAGTGAAGTAACTTGTAACACTCGGCACATTGACACATTTCAGTGTCTCGGGATGGTGTCCAAAACTTGCCGACGGTACTGTACATGCACCAGGCCTCAAAGAGTTAATTGCCGTTTCGATCTTGCGTGCCTCTGCACGATCCTCATAACTCCGTCACATTCTCATATGATAATCAATTGCAAAGGGAATACCTTTCATAACTGACCCGCTTCCAGAAAGCTGCATATGCGTCAGGCTCGACGACGAAATCAGCTCACTGAGCGCCGCTCGACACACACGGGCGGTAATACTTGAGATATATTGGGCGCGCGTTAATGACATTAATTACCGGGCGCGTTTCGACCTTGCGCCGCCTCCGGCGCGATCCCCAGCTTCGCCATATTCTCGTACTTCGGGCGATTGCTTCATCCGCGTGTTTAGGAAACGCGCCAACAATCGCGAGACAAACTTTTCTCGCGCTCAGACTGGAACGCGCGGGGTAGATTCTACGTTGAAACCTCCTTCAAGAACAGCTTAGATCACCGCTGTGTGCGCGCTTCGCTCACGAGCCCAAACGAAATACTTCCCATAAGAGAGCGGGCTTCTGCACGGTCGAGTAAAGCCGTTGATTAGCCACCAGACAGCCGACGTGAAGAAAATCGCGGTGCCCATCAGCGAATCTTAAAGAAGCAAATTCGATATCGCAATGCGAGGGGACGAAGTCTCAAATAATTGCGGACAATGTCCTGGCGATGGGGTGCATTAGTAATGGAATTTACTCGGAAACGTGAGTGGTGGCGACGCAGCTCGCTCGTTTCGCAATTCTCTATACGGTAAACCGAACGGGGAAACGATCGCGTGTCACGTGCGATATCTCGCGCAAGTCGCGCACTAAAGCTGATTCATCAGCGAGGACTGATGCGCGAAGCGAACGAAACATTCCTCGTGGAGAGACAAGATGTGACCGGAGATACGCAAAGTGGCACGTCTCCGCTCGTCGACTTTTGACATGCTCGGCCGAGTCGATTCCGATCTTTTGTTTTCTCCTGGTGGCCGATGCCCGTGTCGCCGTTGGCCTTCCAGCTTTTGGGGATCTGCGGCTGCTGGCGTCTCGCTTTCTGCACCTCACCGTGCAGACGAGCGATGCGCGACGTTCACGCTCTTCATTCTGTACAACATGACGACTCGGCGTGTTATCGGTATCCTGAACATCGATAACACGACTTCATCGAAAGCTCATCGAAAGCTGACATGGTCTTGTTGACGATACGTGGTTGCTGCAAAATGGCCAATTTTCTAATATACTCGCATCGTCGATCTCGTTGACCGTTTAACGGAGGAGATTCTCACGAACCAGCTAACGCCGCGGAGACGTTCATACGGGATAAATACAGTTAGATAGTACGGTGGCTAGCGCCTCGACCGTCCAATTACATGGAAACAGAATCTTCGTTGAACACAACGAATATAACACTCCACGCGCACGAAAAAGACAACTCCATTGGTCTAACTATGTCAGAGAGTATCAGCGCATTTTTCTTCAGCTTATGTAGTCAAGAAGGGGACTTAGTTTATAATTATATTTCTTAACTACGTTCATCCATTCGTTCCATATTTCTATCTATTTGATTATCAGCATCTCTCTAGTTACATTGCCTCTCCCTAATTGACTTTATAATATCATCCTCTCGCTACCAAGTGCCCTTGTGATCTTCTTTTACAATCAGTTGGCCTTCATTCAATTACCCGAACTGAAGTTTCTTTTCCGTGGACGTTGTGCGTCGCGCATCTTTCGAATTCATTGCAGATCGGCAGCGACGATTACGACCACATTTCAGATAACGTTCATCAGCAAATTTCTCATCAGCGCGCTGGTGATATGCATCAGTCTGTGCCAGTTGCTGAAGAAGGACATCCTGAGCATGGACTTTCTTTCGTTGATATTGTACCTTTCTACGCTGCTAGCGCAGATCTTTCTCTACTGCTGCTACGCAAACGAGGTGAAACTGAAGGTTTGTTCCTTGAATGTAAATGTGTCGATTAGCATATTTCTCAGAGTGCTAAGAAATCCTATCGATTTATCAGAGCGCTCATTTAGCAGAGGTCATCTTCGAGTCTGATTGGGCGAAATCTTGGAGCTTGAACGAAAGCTTGAAGCGAGATTTAATATTCATGATGTAGCGCGTCGCGTATCCCGTTCAACATTCAACATTCTGCATGTGATCTACGTGAATCTCGATTTATTCATGAGTATAAATACGATTTGTAGTGATTTGGAATGTAAAAGAAGTCTAGTCTTTTCCTCGCGAGGATTTCAACTCTCATAATTTTTATATTGCAGTTAAAATCGTCTTACTCAACACAGACAAACTTTCCTTACAATAAGGAAGACATCGGGTGAGCTGATATAAAAATGAACGTGGAATTGTTCGAAGATACAGATTGTAGATTTTATATATTTCTGCGCGTGTTTCGAGACAGGAAATTGTGTCAACTTTGAAAGTTGCGAGATAAAATACAATATTTGTACGATTGAGTCGAGTTAACTTTAGCTTATATGTTATCAGTAACAAGTAGTGACATGTAAAAATCAATGAATAATAGTGGACACTTAAGAATTACTACTTTTCCAAAATTTCGAAAATCGATAAATTAAATACATCCAATTTCTTCGAGAGAGAAATTTTTTATTATAGAGAACTCTCTCTCTCTTTCTCTATATTTCAAGACGAATCAACTTTTCAATGGGAAAACGATATGTCGGGACAGGTGAATTATCTTCCACGATAAAATTACCACGATACACAAGTGCAAAGATATCTATAATTATACTTAGGTGTAATTATAGATACAAGGGTGAATATCGGCTGTTACTACAAACGTCGTAATGCAGAATTATTAATAGTTCCCACTAAACGACTGCAATATCAGAAAAGAATCAATAAAAGTAAAAATCGTAGAAAATTCACTGGCACTTTTATTTTTTATAAGATAATCGCACGAACATCGTTCATTGAGCAATAAGTCTCATTTCGGTAGTCATCTGTCGGGACTCGAACTAGCGAAATCACCAAGTGCTAGCTAAGATACGCAGGCAAAGGGGTATACTATTCCAGTAGTATACTTAAAACGCGCGTACCTTCGGAGTAATTAGGATTGTTTTGTAAGCAAAGCAACTATTGCACTGTGCTCTCCAAAAAAAGTAGCGATTATCGCACAAATCTAGGAAACGCCTATTCGTCTCTATTTTTGACACGACTTCATCTAATCATCTTACATTACTTCAACACTTCGACATCATGTGCATATGTACGAAAACGAATATATATTTTAAATCCAATTAGTTAAAACATCACCAAGTAGTTAAGGGACCACCCCTGCAAAACTCAATATTTCTAAAGTCACTTTGCGAGTTGCAACAAAGAAAAAGGGATCTCGGGTAAAAAATGCGCATTATTTATTCGTTATTTCGCCGACTAGGAACACGACAGCATGTTGAAGAATATGTCGTACGTAACTTTTCATCGAAATTATATGCTTGCCGTACTAATACTGTCATATTTATAACTTTTTCAATAATCTACGTTAAATATTAATAACGCATTAAAGATTAATCATCTAGCCGATGTTAAATATCGATTGCGCCAGCAACGGACGTCGCGATATCATAATATTAATTTATGCCATTATTAATTCATTTTAAACACCGGGATGCGCGGAGCTGATGCAGCGCGCAGTTTTATCCGTATAGTGCTTCACATGAAACGTCGTCGCGTGCTAGTTTTGTTGCACATTCGTACATTTTCGCCGAAGCAACGCATAATTCCGTTTCGCGACAGACGCGAACTATAAGCTGCGCCAATGCACTGTACCGCAAAATGTACAAGTGAGACGCAAGGATCGAAGGAAACTGTCAGGACTTTCCGACGCGCTCAAGATCGTGAATCGCGAGACGTTCTTCTCGAGCCCTGATTACTCGCTCCAATTATTTCTCCGAGAGAAAGAGAGAGAGAAAGAGGGAGAGGGAAGAGAGAGAAAGAGAGATCTTTTCCTGTTCATGAAGGACGCGCTGCAGCGTTCTGCGTTATCGTCGCATAATATATCGTTGCTCGACAGTTTCTTGATTGCATCTTTCAAACACGTCAACGATAATGGTGACCGCTTTCTCGATGTAAACGGGAATGTAAATGCATTATTTCTCATTGTAGAGACAGATTCATCTGCAGAAATGCAGATACTCCCTCTTAACTTCTTGCTGTACGCTGCCAGCGGTATGTGGCGGCCTGTCGAGTGGTCCTCGGCCAGCTCCACGCTGCTGTATAACATCTACACCATTCTCATGGTATACCTGATGTGTTTCTTGATGCTGACTCAGTTCCTAGATATCGTCCTTGTCGTTGATAACGTGGAGGACTTTACCGCAAACTTTTTATTCTTCGTCTCGGTGGTCAGCGTGATCTGCAAGATCATTACCGCCTTGACTCGTCGCGACCGTATTGTCAATCTAATTGAGATATTGCAACAGCCACCCTGCAGGGTCTGTGACCAGGAGGAGATGGATATTCAGGCGAAATTCGATCGCTCGATCAGGTGGGTAGGTTTTTGCCCGAGCCCGTCCGTCGTACACGAAAAAAATGCTGTTCCATCAATGGAATTGGTCAACAGCATCATGACTGGAATAAATCTTGATTCAATAGCTATACTAAACATGAGACTAAACCTTAGAGTACTGTGGGTATACACGTGGCTATTGAAAAACTATACTGATATGAAAGATGCGGTTTATTGCCAAAGTTTTATAAAAGTACTATTATCTTCTTCAATGTACTTCCCTACTTGTATACCGCTGCATACGAGTATTTCATTGTTCGAGGAGATTTCCTAGGTCAACCCAAATCCGATGAGTATTGAAAATTGCTTTGCAGAGATAACGTTGTAAGCTGACGTACTGTCTTAATGAAGAAATCATGCGTTATCCTTTCACAAGTCCAGCCTTTTTTCGTCACTCGTTCATGCAGCTTGGTCAGAAGTCCTTTTTTATTCTTTAATTTCGAAATTTGGATTTTTACAACTGGCCATGATTCCGGCAGGATGACGCGACATTGTCCGCTTCATTCCCAAAATACTGCAGTCTCGTTTATTAGGTAACATCATTTTCTGTAACATATACGACTAATCTTTTTTATATCATATAATTTTTATATGATTTTGATAACTCGAGTATTAGTTTCAATAATATTGCTACTGAATTAAGAATATGTTATCCAGCAACGGTATAGCTGACCAATTCTATTGACACCAGTATTTTTTTCGATACACTTTCCTGCTTTGACGTCCACTTCCCGTCATAAAAAATCGGCACGTATATTTGGAATTGTACGCAGATCGAGCTCCTTATCTTACTTGTTTCTCGCGACGATTTCCACCGTCATGGGCTTAGTGGGCTTAATGTTCACCATCCTACAAGGCCAATTACCCCTGAGAGTGTGGCTACCTTACGATTACAGTTCACCCCTCTCATTCTGGCTCACGTGCGTTCAGCTCTTATTAGCCGTCGGGCCGTTCGGCGCGATCATCAACATCTCCACTGAGACCTTGGTGTACGGGCTTTGCTTGCAAACGTGCGCGCAACTCGAGATTCTGACGCACCGTCTCCAAAGGGTAGCACGCTCGAGCGAAGGGGTGGGACTTCGCGAAAGCGCGCCGAACGATACGTCGTCGAACAGAACCAGCAGATTGTCAGAACATATCTGTCATCACCTGTGTATAATCAGGTTTGTCAAGAGGGTGGTACAATTATTTTAAGTACGTATTTTTGTGTAGAAAGAGAATCTATCAAGTTACGTTCGAAAAATTGATAATGTTTGATGAATTATTAGTTTCATAAATTATTATTAGTTGATATATTCCAAAAAAATGCAAAGCGTAACGTAACTGAAATTCAAATTGACTAAGATAAAAGAAACATAGATAAAGCAGCACATGGTTCAGCTAAAAAATAAAAAAAAATATTACGGAGAAAAAGGATTGGTCGAATTAACATGACAATAATAACTAAACGCGTTTGGGTTGAACGAAATAGAATTTCTGACTTTTAGGAATTAAATTTAGTTTTTAAAAACGAGTTCCATTCCCTTTAACCAAAACACATTTAGTTGTGTCATTATCATGTTAATTCAATCAATCTCTTTCTCTGTGTAACAATAAAATTGTAACTAATTATAGCTAATTATAGCTAATTAAAACGCGCATCTCTGCGAAAATGACAATCTGGAATGAATATCACATACGTTACTATGATAGGTGTTGTATTGAATGCATGAGAGTGAGTATGCTTTGAATCGAAACCGATTAGCGTGGATCATCGCGAATACGTTTTAGCGGAGAAGGATTAGTTGAAAAAATTGGATTGTAACGATCGTTGTCCTTTGAACACTGAACACTGAACATAAATCGCACGTTTATAGGTACGCTGAACTGGTCAACGAGATATACAGCCAAGTGTTTTTTATTCAATTTTTCGTTAGTATACTGGTGTTGTGTACGAGTCTGTATTATCTGTCTTCTCACATGACATTCGAGGACATCGGGACAATCTTCATCTACGTGCTCTGCATGTTCGTGCAGATTCTCGTTTATTGCTGGGCCGGGAACGAAGTTATACTTAAGGTAGAATCTCGGCAAGGAAAGGTATCGATAAGCCACTTGGACCAGCTCTCATCGGTTTTATATGCGCAGAGCGCAAGTCTGAGTGACGCGATATATCAAATAGACTGGATACTCATGACGATCAGCGAACGAAAGGATCTACTGATGATAATGAGACGCAGCATGAGACCCATCAAGTTCACCAGCAGCTTCCTGGTGACGTTATCTCTGAGCTCGTATGGCAACGTCAGTATTAAAATCTCGTCAGCGTTCTATGATGTCGCTTCTTGAGCGCCTTGATGCGTGATCTCAACAAAAACTTTCTTACTTTCTGTCCTTTGCAGCTACTGAAGGCGTCCTATTCTGCGTTTAACGTTCTGCAGCAATCTTAAAAGTTTGCACCCTCGCAACACATACCATGTATACAAAAGTTCGTTATAAATAAATTATTTATCACATAGAATTGAACGTTGAAACGCAACTTTGTGTCTGACATTTTCCAAAAATTCTTTGTCTGCAAAAACGATATAGTAATGGAACATGAAGATATATGTAGCATTCGGAACACACTATGTGTTCAATTTAATTATATTTAATAAATCAATTTATTTAAATACTTGAGATTCAAATCTATGTACAGTGTTTTATGTTTGATTCAGCGACAAAGGAAAAAACGTTTTCCAATGTGTGTGTGTGTGAAAAACGTGCACGTTAGAGTTAGCATCAACACCCACCACACTTGATGAGAAGACACCACTACGGACGATCCGCTTTTGTGGATAATTCAATCGAGTGTATGTATGTGTTTGTGTTCAGTCCACGATGTAGAATGTCCATGTATGTTATCCCTTTTCCTACATTATACTGTTACGTCCTGTGCAGACATGAGTCATGCACTCTATCTTTGCCTCCTCTGTCAGGAAACAACAAACTATTCCGAATCGTAAGACCTTTTTTTTTGTCTTTCCCCAATAAAAATTCCGACTAAAATTCCGAAATAACCCTGGAAAATACAGCACTAAAACTCCTTAATCCGCAAAGTAAACTTCACCGGACCTTATCCTTGGG